CACAAGATCTGTGTCCGAGGGAGTCACAAGCAACTATTACCCGTAGCTTAATTCGCGAACGAAAGATCCAATCATTTTAGTCCACCCAATGATGAATGTGAAAGAAAACAGGTCAGTAAAACCTATGGACATGTCGTACTGTTTTGAATAAAGGCTTGCTAAAACACAATCTCTGTTTGTTTAGTCTTCATTCTCTGGCTAAAGTTGATTTTTTAATAACAATGTGTGGAAGCTCATCATAAAATTATTAAATTAATTGATTTTTCGGTGTATTTGGCCACAAAATTATGATGATAACACTGAGAGAAGGCAGGAAGGAAATATTCCAACCCTGCTTTGTTGCCCAAATATTTGAAAATTGTCGTGCCGAGACGGTATAAGCAAATTGTATAGTCTCTGTGTCACCCGGCACTACAATTTTCAAATATTTGAGTACGTTTTTACGGAGTAAATGAAATATTTGAAAATTGTCGTGCCGAGATGATACAGAGATCATGCAATTTGGTTGTTGCAACTCAGCACGACAATTACACATTTGAAATTAGTCGTGCGCTTTTCTGAAACATTAAAACATTATTTGAAGAATTTTTGATGAAGCAGCCAGAAAAACCAGAAAACGTACACATCCTTTAATGATGGTGATGGGATCTAAACAAAATACAGGAGAAAAATTGTTCATGTGTATATTACCTCGATACACACTCACTATCCCTGTAGAATGCGTTCAATGCGAAGTTTGACACTGGCGACATTACAGAAAAAGAATCTCTGATTTTTTGTGGGCTCATATCAATGTTAACTCATTCGCTCAGCGATCTTCAACGATGTCTGACTGCTCGATTTGTCTTCGATCTTTGCTTCGCCACGGTAAACTGACTGGGCTTTTGTGCAGTCACGTGTTCCACGTTGACTGTATAGTTATTTGGGAAAAAAACAGGTGAGTACGTGCACAAACAAATCGTGCATAAATGTGTTGAAAGTTCTACGTGTTCTCTTCTACAGCTCAGCATGTCCATCTTGTCGCTCGCCGATCACACGACATGCACTCCATTTGGACTTTTCGGAAACGATGCAATCGTTTGAAAACATACAACGATTGGCGGAAGATGTGCTTTTGCGACACCAGGAACCGCAACAGCAACCACAACCACAACCACAACCACAACCACAACAACAGCCACAACAAGAAGCAGAAATGGAATACATTACGGAACAACATTTCAATGAAAATGTCCGGTATGAAATGACGACAGCCCGACAAGAAATTTTTTTGGCCCGCTATCGTGATGACATTCTCAACGTTCGTTTGGAAAGACGAGTTATGATTGCGACAGAAGGAGAACCAAATATTCGCGGCTACAGAGCATTCGTATATTTTTCACCAGCACCGATCCAGCAGGATTAACCATTCAAACTAAATTCGGAATGATATTGATATAGACCAACAATTTTCTCTTCAACGTCATTCAATACAATCATATTGATTTATTTTTATTTGTGACCTTAATTTATCCGAATCAATATCAAAACTGAACTATTTCGATCCATGCTTTAAGATCAATTACACAAAGTTTCTTCATTCGAAAAATCGTTTTGCATTGCTTATCTTATTTATATACACATGTAAACTTTTTTACATTTTAAGACAAAAATAAAACCCAAATTGGTGAAGAGCATATGAGAACGAATGTGTTTTCAATTTTAGTCCATGACATCTCATTTCATTTCATTTATTTAAACCGCCAAAAATTGGCTGAATATTTGGTTTTGCGGGAGAATGACTCCAAGAGTCAGGAAAAACCTGATCTTTTGTTTCTATACAATTTAGTTTGATTTGATTTTTACGTACATTGACAAAAATAACTATAATCCATTATAAATGAATAAGAGGTCAAAAACAATCACCAATTCAATGAATGACTATATCACAGTCAATGTTACTTTTCGATTTTGTGTAAAAATCACAGTTTTCCTTCATTAATTCTATACATTTAAAAAGGATGTAAAAAACACATCATATTAGAATCTGTGGATCTAAGAATCACAACATAATTTCTTATTGGTTCTCTGAAGTACCTGTTGGGTTTTTCGCAGATTGAAAATTTCTTTTTTGTCGTTTATTTACATTTGCATTCGTTCTTAATGACTACTTAAAAATATTAAAACATTTGCATTTGCCCAAAAATGTAAAATAGCAAAAACAATACAAGTGCATGGATGCGCTCTAGCGCAATTTTGAAAAAACTACTCGTTTTCGGTCGTGTTACAAGCACTGAGCATGTTTGACGCACGCAAATTCAGTTGCGGTGCGGCCGCTGCTCAGTCACTCGGTGCGCTTCAGTCATCTCTGATCTTGTCAAACGTAACTCTTAGGTTGTCAATTTGTTTAGATTAGGCTTTAGTGTTGATCTGTCTCGTCAAAATGGAAGGTCAAACCAAAAAATTCAGTTGCGATTTATGTAAAGTTGAGCTGAAAGACGTGTCTGAATATTGCAAGCACGCATTGAAATGTAAGTCAACGACAAAAAAGAGAACTTGTTCAATCTGCGAGAAAGAATTTTCCAACAGATACTTCAAAGAACACATAAAAAATCATGACGGTGAGTTTATGTTATGTACTAGAAATAACGTATTTCGCCTATTTCTAATTTTTTCGGGATTCTAGATCCATACAGGTTCAAATGTGAAGATTGTGATGAAAGATTTAACACGGCGGCAAGACTAAAGGACCATAATCGAAAATATCACGAAGAAGAAGAAAATCAATATGTGTGTGAACAATGCCAAAAGTCCTTCAAGATCTACACCGACCTGAAAAACCACAATTACCGACACCACAAGGCAAACAGAATGATGTTCAAATGTGGGCATTGCGAATACGAGACAGACATCAGATATAGCCTGCAAGTCCATGAACGCCAGCACACTGGAGACAAACCGTTCGAGTGCACCGATTGCTGCAAAAGTTTCAAACAGAAAAGCCATTTAAACCAACATAAAAATGTACACCATCCAGAGGTAGAACCATATCCGAAACCACCGGAGCCAAAAGCACCACTGAGATCCGCGAATAATGATCAATATTTGCAACAAGATAACCCAGTTGACACAAACCAAATTCCAGCAGCTTTACCATTGGACAATTCTTTATATATAGATTCTTTCGATTGGACAAGCGTCATTAATTTTGATTCATACTAAAATATAACTAAATGATCTGCGTTTAAATTATTTCCATTTTTAAAAATGTGAACGGAAGCCAATGCTTATCATTACCACACTAAAGTATATTCAAAAAAGCCTACCGACGAACGAGAATTTTATTTTCTAATAGCAATTCTGCCAATTTTTTTTCTATTTTTATTTGAAAACTTTCTTTTAAATGAGCAAATGCAATAACGAATGTTGCAGAAACAGAACTAAAAAAAATAAAAAAATAAAATGAAAAACTAATCGTATAAAGAGAAAATCATAAAGTTTTTTTTAATTCGCGTAAAAATTAATGAAAGGAGATTAAAAATCGAATCTATTAATATTTACATATAGCTCATGAATAATAGGTACAATACATAGCTAACTAATATCGTTTAAAACTACTTATCACATAAAATGGGTCCGACTTAGAAGAAAGAAATAAATTGAATATTATATGTTCATTTGATTCAAATCGAGAGTAGAAATAATACAGTAAAGCTTATAGAATAAAATAGCCCAGAGAAAATTCTGAAAAAACGTCAAATCGAAATGGAGCTCGTCATTTGAATAAGAAGAAGATTGTGTAAAAAAAACAGAACAAAACAAAATAAAAAGAATGGAAGATTTTTCAAAAAAGATTTTTTGTAACACAATTTTCTAAGCCATTTCTATAAAGATGTACTTGGCATCACTATATTTATTTGAGCGAATATGCATATATTCTGATTGGATTTGAGTGAAAAAATATATGGAAAAAACTTACATAAAATAAATGAAACAAAAACAAAAATGTCACAACGGAAAGTCGGATTGTTGTGCAACTCAGACAATTCATTCAGTTTGTGCCCTGAATTACGTTACGTATAGTTTTATGATAAAATATTTTTTTTAAAGAAATTGGAAATCGTCAATATCACAAGGTTTGTCATTAGGAAAATCGTTGAATTTCCATACCCGATGATTAAATGTTCACAATGGGCACACATTTCCTTTTTTGAGATTCATTTTAGAGCTTTATTTTTATTCGATATGCTTTCAATACAAGGAATCGTATCGTATTGTCGAATTGTTTGTGCAAAGACACACTTATTTCATCAGCTTCACTATATAGCTTTGGCAGTTTTTTCTTTCTTCTCAATAATAGCCTAATCTCTGCAATCCACGGATTACACAGACGTATAAAATTTGAACCGACGCCAAACTAACCAAACCCAATGAGGGTTCTACTATGGCATAGCAGTACTTTCACCCCCTCATAGTGCAAAAAAAGCAAAAGAAAATGAGAAAAAATGAGCCAAAAATGTGCAAAGACACACTTAAAAAAAAAGATCACTCATTTGTAAGGATATTTCGAGTTTTGGACCAATTTTTTAGCGTTTGGTGGACGTTTGGCCAAATGAAGTCATGACAACAGCCATATTTCAGTTTCTAATGTATGCTAAGCTAAAGCTTATGTTCACAGCTAAAAACTAAAGCCAAAACGATTCACCTATGATGACCCGTTGGAAAGTTATGGCTCCCCAAGTGATAACATGTTCGTTTTTTACACTATTTTGGCACTAATTATCACTTGAGCAGCCATAACTACCCTACCAGACGACACAGGCATGTCGCATTAGCCTTATTTTTCATCTATGAACATCAGCTTTAAAATGCAATACCGCTTGAACTGAAATATATCATCTGTCATGGTCTAATCTGCCTCAATGTATACCACAACCCTCAAAAATGGGTTCAAAAATCAAATTTATTTCATAAAAAAGAATTTATTTCCTCTCAAATATTAAAAAATAGTACATTCAAGCTTATATTCTCTGTACCAATGTTTGAGTAATTTTTAAAGATGTTTTTGAATGTATATGAGTGGAAAATTTGATTTTTGAACATGATTTTTCTGGGTTAGTATGTTGAGCAATGTTGTCCAGTTATACGTTGGCTACAAAATTGTCGAAAAAAGTGATCAGAAAAATTTGATACGCAGTTATAGTTGAAAAATTGAAAAAATCGCCATTTTTTCGACATTTCGTTCCATAGCATCTATTAGGGGAGTGTACCCGGTTGTGGGCACCGCTTTTTGTTTCAGCCATAACTTGTCACAGAATTCATATTATGCAGACATTTGAGTATCAATGGAAAGCTAGAGGTATAAAGAAACGTTTTGGTGCAAAATTTGCATTGATTCCATCACTCAAAAAAATTTTGTGACCAATTTTCCAAAGTGCTCATTTTTGGCCAAAAAAAAATGTGTACCCGGTTGTGGGCACCCCCAAAAAAATCGATAAAAATGAGTAAAAACCACCAAAGTATTGAAAAATATTGAGTAATATCAAATTTTATTAATTATTGAAGCCTTCGGGGGCAAAAATGACAATAGAAAATGGCACTTTTTCAAATTATTCATCACTTTCTTCGTCGTCCAAATCAGTATCGCAATTTTTGCACGTGAAAAAACTGTCACGCATATCAGCGCACTTCAGATGCACGACCCCTTCGCATTTGTTGCATTTGATGGAGTTTAAAGAAGTTAATCTTGATGGCATAAGCTCCAAACAGATGAGACAAAAGTCACGATCCTCGTCCGATGGTGGCGAATCATTTGGTTTCGAACGCTTGGCTGATGGTTTGGGAGAAGGCGTTGCCTTCCGTTTGTTAGACTTTTTTGCGGTTGAACTTCCTTCTTTGTTTGCTCCTTTGGCGGCTTCTTTGGCGGCTTTTTTGTTGGCGGCTTCAGCTTTTTTGGCGGCGGCTTCAGTTTTTTTTTGCTGCTTTTTCCTTCAAAAGAACTAGGCTTTCAGGAGAAGTCAAAATAGTGCTTTCCATCGGCTTCCGGCCACGTTTTGAAGGCTTTTTTTGTGTGGCTGCTTGCAAGGGACCAATTTCATCCAAAAGACAGCTTACCGAAGACGATCTAGATGTTGTTGGTTCAGATGAACTGGTTACAACTTCCTCACGTCCAACATCTGGCCCAACGACGATTCGACGCTGATCCTCTTCACCAATGCCAACGTCCAAGGCAACTTCTTCTTTGTTTTGCTCAACAGCTTGAACAAAGTCAGCATCGGTGAAAACGTCCGGATTGTATGGAAAAATGCCGGTCGCACTGAAGCCAGACTTGATAATTTTTGGTGTCAAAGCGAGATCAAGAGTCTTACAAACAAGGCCAGCAATATGACGGATTTCCAATGGCGTGTTTGCATTGTTTTTTTGCCATGCGGAACATTGCGACTTATAATACGACTTTATCGGTCCGAATACAGATACATCCAAAGGTTGCAATCTGTGGCTGCAGTGCGGCGGGAACGAAATAATATGGATACTATTTTCAACGGCCATATCGATGGCATCTACCGACAGATGCGATGCATGGTTGTCAAGAAGCAAAACCACAGGAGAAGCCTGCGAAGGTTGGACAAAAGTAATGAAATGACGCATGTAACGCACAAACTCTGGCTGGCACATCCAACCAGAATCATTTGCAAAACCAGCTGTCCCGGATGAGACATTGTCCAAAAAGCTGGTTTGCATGTTCTTTCTCGGGAAGAGGAAAAATGGCGGGATGCTGTTACCGCCGGCGTTTACAGTCAACGCCATCGTCACCATTGTGCCTCTTTCGGCGCCTTCCATTTGGCCAACTCGCCGCATGCCCTTCAACGCAATCACTTTTCCAATCTTTGATGGCACAGTCCATCTTTCATCCATATTGTAAATTTGGTGTCCATTGAATTTGTATTCAGTCAAAAGAACATCAAAATTTGCAAAAAATTTATCGACGTTGGTCTTGCTAAACGCTTTTGCACGATTGAGCGACGTTTGTTCGGGCGTACGCAACACAAGCTGACGGTGGCGGCGCATAAAATTGTAATACCAATGACGACCAGCCATCATTTCTTCATCCCAATTCGCCGGATAGTCGACGGCGAGTTTCTTGGCAAGCTGATAAGCCAATTCACGCAACTCGGTTATGCTCAGGCCATAATAATGCTTCACGCATTTGAAAATGTAGTCAACAAGTTCCTTTTCTTGGGCAATGGTGAAAACCTATTGATAAACGTCAAAAAAGAACATTAAAAACAAAGCACATGAACAGGAGAAAGAAATAAAAAACATACCATATTAGATGGCGTACGTTGACCGCAATCACGAACAAATTCCGTCAATTCATCATCTGCTACGGCTGAGAGGTCTTCATAATTTTCTTCAACTTTCTTCAGATAGCGTTGCAAACTGCTACGAGGAAGATCATGGGACCGTGCAGTCGTTTTGATTTGCTTCTTGTCGATCAAGCAATCCTTAATGGCCTTTACCAGGGCATTTATATCAATTGCTTTCGGTTCAGTTGACTTTTTCGCAGTTGACATGGCAAAAAATCCATAAAAATGAATTAAAAACCCAAACAAATAACAAAAACCACGATATATAGCACTCTCTAGCTCAAAAACAAGTGTTTCAAGCGAAAACAAAGAGTGCCCACAACCGGATACAAACGGGTGCCCACAACCGGGAATGGCAGCCATTTTGAAAGTGAGCATAAAAATTTTTCGGTGATCAACAAATGCTCGGATACGGTGTTGATTCATATAATTTATCGAAAATCCTACACATATATGCATAAAACTCACCTTTTTGATGTTTATCACTTCACTTTATAACACTTCAAAAAAAATCTGAAATCTTCTCAAAGTAAATTTTTAGCCAATTTTTTTTCCGATTTTCGTAAAACATTAACAAACGCGTCTTTTCACTTCGGTGTTGTAGCAGAAAGTGATGGACTGTCAAAATACACAATCGCTCATACTCAGATTCGCCATTTTTGGAATCTGTCAAAAAAAAATTGGGGGTGCCCACAACCGGTGACTGCCCACAACCGGATACACTCCCCTAGATGGGATTTTTTATGTGTAAAATGTTCATAAAATTTATTTATTGGACTCTCAGCTACAACTTCGACTCAAAAAGTAAGACGATATCTCGAACTTTGGATGAGATATTGACCAAAAAGTGATGACGTCAAAAAAGCAGAAATCATAAATAGAACAAAAAAATTACACAGGCGTATAAAATTTGAACCGACGCCAAACTAACCAAACCCAATGAGGGTTTTACTATGGCATAGGAGTACTTTCACCCCCTCATAGTCAAGGTCATGTTCTATCGAACTTTTTAAAAATTGTTCCACTGTGCAATCAAACAATGTTGAATTCATTCATACTTGGTAATGTGCACCTCTTTGCTGACTCCGTCCATTCTATCGTAAAAGGAGAGAAACATGTGAACAAACACATGCAATGAGGAAAAAAACGCAATTAATAACGGAAATCTATTTAGAATTGCATTTGATTGGCTAGTTCAATGTGACGTTCAAATCTCATGGTGGTGACACCTCTATATCAACTTAAAAATCATTTTAGGCAACAATTCTATTGCACCTTTCGTCTACTCTGTAAAAACGTTCCCAAATATTTGAAAATTGTCGTGCCGAGTTGATACAGGGACCATGCAATTTGGTTGCTGCAACTCGGCACGACAATTTTCAAATTTTTGAAATTAGTCGTGCCCTTTTTGCATTATTAAAACAAAAGCAGCCAGAAACTTCGACTGGTTCGGACAGATACTGACATCGTTGAAGATCGCTGAGCGAATGAGTTTACATTGATATGAGCCCACAAAAAAAATCAGAGATTCTTTTTCTGTAATGTCGCCAGTGTCAAATAACGAGAAGAATAATTGAGACTAGCGACATTACAGAAAAAGAATCTCTGATTTTTAAGATTTAATACGATATTTTATTTTGCTTTGAGGTTTTGAATAAAAAGATGTAAAGATTTGAAGAGAATCAACCGGTCGTCGTTTTCATTCGAAAAAATTATTCAAAATGCAGCAAATTACCATTAAGGGGGAAAATTACGACATTACTAAACTTCTCGGTAAAGGAGGTTTTGGATATGTATACAAAGTAAAATGCGGTAATGATTTGTTTGCCCTCAAAGTGGAAGAAATTCAAAACCAGGGTGAGCAATCGGGTTTGTTGCAAGAAAAAAAGGTACTTTTTGTTTTCGCATAAATGTTTAACTTTTTCGAGCTATTTTCTATTATTTTACTCCATTTCGATTGAATTGCGTTCATAATAATAAAACCATTTTTTATTATTCGACCTGCCGATTTTAGGTGTATGAAATGCTGAAAGGCAAAGAAGGGTTCATTCAAATGAAAGCATACACGCACGATAATACTCACCGCGTTTTGGTCATGGAACTATTGGACAACTCCCTTGACAAATTGGCGGAATCGCAAGTGAATTTTCTCAACGTGATAACCCAAATCACATTAAAATTGAAGGTTCTTCACACTAATCGCATAATTCACGGTGACATTAAACCAAATAATATCATGTACCGTGCTGAATCGAACGAATGGTATTTGATAGACTTCGGTCTATCACATGTCATGAACGATGCTCACTGTCCTATGCTTGTCGACACCATAGGCGGATCTTGGCTTTATTTAAGTCGAAACATGCACTATCTAATGCAATCCTATCAAAATGACTTCGAAAGTTTGGCTTATTACATCGTTCGCCGCATCAAAGGGAGCCTACCTTGGTCAAAGGATTGTGTTGAACTTCAAAAAAAGGTTCGAACCGATGCAATCTCTCGGCAAGATCTAATTGGGAAAATTCTCGCAAAAAAGATGGACGCAGTTGATAACGTTCGCGCTTTTGATATGCCAAAACCATACCAAGCATTCATTGAGGAGTGCTTTGCAATGGACAAATTCGATGTTCCGAATTACAGCCGATTGCTAACAATTCTAAACGAAATTTAATTGCAAGTATTCTTGCAAAATACGTTGATCCCGTAATGATCTGTCGAAACCACTACTTCAGAGAACAAATAAAAAATCAAATGACTCCGATGAATTCATTAGATCCGTCACTTCTTCATAGCAACTACAAAACCGTTAAAATATCTGGAACAGCAGTAGTAACTCGCCGAACAACACATTCAACACAGAAAATCGGAATTTGATTGACCTTATCGTAGGTACTCACTCAGTTGCAATGACAAAAAAAACAGTCCTAGTAACAGTAATAACGAAACACTCGACAAACGATTTTTCGATTCTCTAAATGATCTGATTGTCCGATTTCCATGTACATATTTCAATTTATTTCACAAATGGATATCGGCTGTTTCAATGTGTTTCATTTTTTCTTCTGTTTCTTTCCTCTCCTCTCCACTGCCGGTTTCGACGAAACGAACTATTTTGCGGCCAACAACAGCACCGATGATCCGATGCAATAACATCAGGGACATATATTTAGATCGAACAACAAGATTTCATCAATCGTTGGATGCACTCTGTAAGTGTTTTAATTTAGGCAAAAGAAGCAAAAACATCCTCGAATCGTTTTGAAGCCAAAGGGGTGTTTATTAAACTCTCAATATTTACTTTATTTTACCTTCGTCTTTGGAAATTCAAACATGCCATTCATGTATTCCATTTGATTTATCTTTGTACGCTCATTAGGTGGAACATCACGTTGGAAATTGTAATTCTCATCGGATTCATCGCTGGAAAAAAATCAAGCACTGACTCGGAACTCCAAATCACAATGATTGATAAACTCACCGAATTACTACTGCTAAACTAGAGAGGGAGTCCTTCACGCAGCTGCAAAACAATACATTTTCCATCAATCTATAAATATTAATACCATTTTTTTAGATTTAAGTCGCTCATGATAAATCTCTTTTTCGGTTAGCGTATAATGTTGAAAACCAACACAATCCGTAAAACATTAATAATCGAATTAATAAATACTAACCCATTTAAATTCAACAGTAAAAATGCATGAAAAAAACGGAAAAAAAGCTAGGCCAATGAAATATGAATCATTTACATCTAACAACTAGAACAAAACAAAACCAACACGAACACAGAACCAGTTTAGGTTTTAATTATACCAACGCATAAGCCATATGTTCTTGATTTGTTTTTTCCTAGGGGGTAGACACAATTTTTTACTAGAAAAACTAGAAGAAACTAGAAGGAATTTGGAGCATTCAGTTTACACACAGTATATGGCGAACTGTCAAATTTTACTAGAAATACTAGAAAAAATTAGTGTACTAGAATCTCGTGTCTAACCCCAAGGTTTTTTCACACACACACACCTACATGAATAAATATTTTGGGAAATTTAAAAGAAATGCATTCATTTTAATTAATATCACGCCAAAAAACTTGACAAAAGTCTTAATTCCATCTGAAAAAAGTCAACAGGAAAAAAAAGAAGAGAAAATGTAGTGTTTGCAATGTAAGTTGTTTATTCGTTTTTCCTGTGAAGTCTGAAATCTGTTTTAAGAAGCAATACAATAACATAACAGTTCAAAATATGATGTTTACTATGTGGCTTAGAAAATCTTATGGAAAGTGTGACTCTACACCACCTCGGCACGACAATTTTCAAATATTTCTTCTATTCCGGAAAAACGTACTCAAATATTTGAAAATTGTCGTGCCGAGACATTACAACCGAATTGTATAATCTCTACACCACCTCGGCACGACAAATTTACGAATATCCATCAATTCCATTGCAAACAATTACTTTTTGAATGTTTTCTTATATGTCGTACGATTGTTGGCACAATTGAGACAGATTGGAATGAACACCACTGTACAGGTAATGTTTGCTGCTCCCACTCTGACCATATTGACCTGAAATCTCTCCCATCAGTGTTCCAACAATCGTATGACCAAAAAAGGCCTCCCGAAGCGAAGAAATTTTGGTATCTGGTCATAAACTTATGCTAATTATATGTTCCGGAATCGAAATTCTACTAATTCTAGTTTGCTTATTTTTTTATTTTTCTTAACATGTGCTTAGATTCGAATTCAAATTCGAGTTTCAAGTCGAGTATATGCACGCTAATTGGAATCGTTTTCTGAAGCAGAATCGATATTCGACTCGGAACTTGAAATCGAATCTGAGTCAGAATATTCATCGTTCCAGTTGTTGAAAACGTAATCCTTTGACGATGGATGTAATTTTTGTATTTTTGCCAAAATACATAAAAATATGACCATTTGAACATCTGTTTATCTATAAATTTGGTCCAAAATCGACATTTCTTCATGGAGCAAGCGAATGGTCAAAATCTGCATACAAAATCACACTTTTGGCATAGAAAACTCACCTATGATGGCCTGGTATGACTCTTTTTCCACGTAATTTTGGACGAGGAATCGATTAAGACTTGTCTCAATCTTTTCTGATGGGTCTGAAAGGTCGAAAAATGACCCTGTTCCAGTTATATTTTTAACTCGTAATATTAGATGCATAAAACCACATTTTCCACTTCAAAAATGCATTCTTCGTCACATACACTGACTAAAATTGTCTGGAATATTTTTAAATCTTTTTCTTAAAATGCTACTTCTATTTCTTACCATTTTATTGATTTTATTATTGTTCAGAGCATCCACTATCGTCGGATGAATTTTATGATTGGGTCTGCAACAAAGATATAAATCTACTAATTCAAAATCCCTCGGCATTCTAAATGCTCATGCAAGCAAAAAATATCAATCTAGTATCTGATGAGCTGCGATATGTGTTCTTTCTTCCTTGGTAGTGAAGCGTCAGTTACATTGAAAAATGCGCCAAAGATAAAATAGGATTAGTAAATATGTAAGACCCAACTGAAACAGTTGTAATTGCAACGAGTTCAATCTATGATGTAAGAACTTCCAAAAACTCGTTGGTAGCAATCGACCGTCCTGTACCTAGCAAACAAATTTACGTATTTACCCTGTTGGATACAAATGGTGAACCAGTGCCACTTGGATCCTGTATTTACCGCGGAACGTTTTCTTTCCGATCCACTCAGTGACAATTCATCGACACGCATGTAGAAAATCCGAAAGTGGACGAATCGCCTTATAGCTTATATGATGGCCGATGGAGATGCTAATGCATATCTGCTGAAAGACCTACGCTCTTATCTGTCAAAAAAATTTCCCATTGCTTATGTGTCCTCCGTACTTGCCATTCACCCAAT